GAGTAATATAGACACTTTATCATGCGACCCTTGATAATTTTAAATATAAATTTTTAAGTAATGTTTTCATTATCTTTATTATTAAAAGTAAAAAGAATTTCTTAAAATTCTTGAAAAAATGTATTTATCTATTAATTTTTTTTAACTTAATTGTTTTTCAAAGATTTTTCATATATGTCTTTAGAATACGGACCATCAGATTCTCAAACATTTTAAAAAGCTGTTGTTCATAATTCTGCAATTGAATATTTTATATATAATTTATATTTTTTTACTTTTGATATATTGATTTATGATTACTTACAAATATAAAGAGTCATTCTTGTTGCTTAGGTTTTCTGTTTCCTAGATAAGATGATAATTAATTTTAAAAATATATACATATGAAAATTAAAATATTAAATATAAACGATTGAAAATATATATTCATGAGAAAGTGCCGCTTGAAAAATGTCTCTAAACCATTATTATCAACTATTAAGGAAATACAACTGAGATAAAAATGCAATAGTTTCATTAAAGTTGCCTACCGAACTCGCTGAGCATAATATTGTTTATGATTAATAGTCTGTTAAAAAAAATATTTTATAGGAATGACAATTTTATAGTTTTACAAAAAATTATTTGGTAGAAATATTTCAATAATATTAGTTTGATTCTATTCAGTCGCATCTTGATTTATATTAGAAATGTTTCGGGTCCTATAAAAAAAAATTCCATCTTTATAATAATATTTATTAAGTTAACTTGCAAACTTGAAAAATACCGATTTATATATCCTATGGTTGTAGTTGAATATCAGAAACGGTGGAATGTTGATCAATACTTGGGAAAAAGAGAACGGCATAATAAGAAGAAAATTTATTTATTAATAAAAGCAACTATCTTACTTGAGCTAAATATTCTATTAAACCTTTATTTGATTCAATAAGGAAAATTATTATTTGATCATAAACTAAATACCCATATTAATAAATTATCCAATAATTAAACATATAAAAATTTCATAAACTTAAAATTTCGATCCTTTAGCAGAAGAAATAAAATGCCAGATAAAAGACGCAAACAAGTAATTTTGATAAAATATATTCTTTGCTCTCTTAAAGTAAATACAATGTAGTCTCATTTTATCTTAACCAATGATATTGTTCTGCACGCTCTCTTCTGGGCTTTACAATATCCTTTTCTTTGTTAATTATTAAACCATCAAATGCTACTATCACAGAAAAGGTTTTCTCTTAAATATAGAATAATTAGTTTGGGGGTCTAAGTTTTCCCAATCTATTTTTATTAAGTCCTCTTCGTCAGGGCTTTCTATTATTTGCTATTACAATTCCAAAGTAGATTATATTTAAATAATATAAAATAGCATGTAAAAAAATGATATTTATTTACATTGCTTGGTAGATTAATAATAAAATTTTTAATACTTTTTAAGAAGGTAAATAATTATAAGTCAAAGTTTAAAACATATTTTTTATAAAAATATTTGTAATGAAAGGTGGGTTAAGAATTTTTTTTTTATTTGTTATAGGTAAATGTACTATGGGTTAAGAATTTTTTTTTTATTTGTTATAGGTAAATGTACTAGATATTTAGATATTTTTTACACAATTAAATATAATATAATTTGCAAGTATTTGCAAAAAGTAGATATTAATATGTTGAATGTTTTAAATTATCAAATTATTAAACTCATTCTTATAATCATAGCTTGTATTTCTATTTAATAGTAAATCAAAATATTTCTAAGAAAATGAAAGTAATTATAGTTATAAGCATTTTTATAGTAGATTTGTTCCTGGTAAAGATTGTTTATTCATTGATTAATATAATAGCAATAAGCCTACAACTAAGGAGTAGAGACATCCAGGTGTGAAGTATTTGTTAGAGATATTAAAAAAATGTAAATTTGTAACGAATTATTATAAACTTTAATTTTTTTAAAATTATTGGGAGAAAGTTTATCAAAACTTATACTAATATTTAAATTTTTAAAAAAGGAAATAAAAATTATTCATTATCTTATAAGTTACTTTTTCATTAAATTAAATTATTATTTATTAATGAATAATATATTATGAGTTTTTTTAACTATATCGCTATGGTAATTTGTAAAATCAGATAGGACCCCTATTTTTGAACTTAATGATTTTGACATAAATTGCGTCGACCTGTCCTGGTATCCAATATTGTCCATTCTAATAGATTGGATTATAGTATTAAGATCATTAAGGTATAATTAGTTGTGCTATTTAACGATTACCCTTATTAAAGATTTTAAGACCATTGAGTTAAAATAGCAAATATAAAATTAAAGAAACATAACAATTATTATAATGATCATATATTGTTTACATGATTTATATTTAAAAAAAATAATCTTCACAATATGTACCCTCATAATATATCATCAACTTGATCATCTCATTCTGTATATATTCTACCCTTTATCAAATCTTCGAGTATTTTTTTTACTATGTGCTGATACGTTAAACAATTCCAATTTCTTATTTTAACCATTTTAAAAATTATATTAAGATGCTGTGCTTATTTGGTATTTAACCCCGCCGTTTCGCCCTAGATTTTTATTAAATAGCTCTATTAATTTTCTGGATAAAATCAAACGTTACAATAAAGGAGGCAATGGTTTAGGATGAGAGCTGGGGTATCCAACCAAAAAACAATACTAAGTATGAATATACTTGAAATCAAAGGTTGTACACCTAAAATAAATATAAAATATAATTGGGTAATTGGTTTTATCTAGCTAGCCATAATAAATCGGCACAGGCTTAGCTTCAGCCATAAATAATTGGCTAAAAAACTAACTATTACCCAATTATAATTGCGAACAGACTAACTTGGATTGGACATACATACGATAAAAGAACAAAGGGTTTAGAAGTAATGCGTAAAAGGAAAAGGGCACTAATGGAATTATAAGGTAAGAGTCAATATATAGAATATAAATATACTAATATTCATAGTATGAACAATATAATATTTAAAAAAATTTACTGAGTGACCCCACCTACAAAAAAAAGGGGCATTAATTATTAAAATCTTATCAATAATCATATTAAATTTCTATATTTATAGTTTTAAAATAATAGTAGAAATATTATATTGAATAAGAGATTCATGCGCATCTTCTATTCAGGAGTGTGTTAAACATCTCGATATGGGCATCTCTTTAAGTCGGCTAACTCAATATTTTAGCCTGAAAAATATTGTCTCAGTTTATAGGTTTTGTTTATGAACAAAATTTTATGGCTTTAATACTTGTTTAGAAAAAATATTTAGTAGCCTTACCCTATATTTACAAAAAAATACCTATTTATATATTCTAATTAGTAGTAAATAATAAATTTTTATGATATAATGCTATTTTTAAAAATTATGAAAAAAAAAAAGAATATATTTTAGTTAACAATCAGGCATATTTACCCGAGTAGGGTTAAGAATAAAAATGTTTATTTATCCTTATATACTTAAATAAGATATATTTTAAATATTTTTATGATTTAGAGTTATTTTTATAAAATATAAAAAAAAATTAAAAATATGTATTTTATTTAATAATGAGGCATGTTTACCCGAGTAGGGTTAAGAATAAAAATGTTTATTTGTACTTTTATATTTAAATAAGATATTTTTGCAAGCATTTGCTTAAAAAAATTATATTAATATGATTTGAAATTATTAAATTAATAGTCCCCTTTTTGTAATCATAACTTAATTTAAATAGTAATCAAAATATTTTTAAGAAAATGAAAATAATTTTATTCATATGCAACTTAGCTTATATTAGAGCCATTCTTACTAGAACAGGTTTAACATTTATTACAATAATATAATAGCATTAATTCAAAATTAATATCAATATCTAATGTATCCCGTTTATAGTAAACTTGTTATATCATGATAGCTCAAACGATTCATAAATCAAAATACATTATGTTAAATTATAAAGCTATGGTCAAGTTTAGTGATGATATAGGCATCGCTTAGACGATAACTTAAATCGAGGCTTAACTCACATCCGGGAGATATAAAAACATGTGAATTTATATTCATGAAATAATTAACAACTTTAATTTGCAAATAGGATATAAAATAATAATTAATAAATTTTACATTTCAGTTGGAGAAATTTTCTCCAAAGGCATATTAGTATTTAAACTAATTTTACAATAGTTAAAGAAATGATATCTTTTATAACCATATAATGTCAATAATTTTAGAAAACGATAAATGTTTTTTTGCTAAATATAAATATTTCTATATATAAAAAAATATGATGAAATATTTTTACGTCTAGGTTGTAATATCGTAAAGCCTCATGCTTGAAACAAATTTAAATCACATATTCATTCAAAGAGTAGATAAGATCTTAATTGTATATTTAGTTAAGGGGACACCTAGCTAAAAAAAACCAAATAATAAATCTACGTTTAACAGCCGCCCACATTTCTCCACTTTATTTCAAGTAGATAGCTTTAGACCTCGCGCTATGACAACCATATCTCGTAAAATTACTAATATGGGACTATATATACCATACTTTCAAACTTAATTAAAACATAATTTATGACTACAGGCAGAAACTAAAAATATTAACAATATAAAAATTATAACAACTTCAAATTCAATCCAATAGTTATTTCCATGGCCATTTTAAAATAAATTTTGATACAATTATAGTTCCATTTTGGGAACTAAATTATATTTTTGTATATTTATTTATATAGATTTTTTCATTTTATAGTGCTTATATTTAATTTAATCATTGAGAAAAACCAAATAAATCTGTAATACCAAAATAAAAATTTATAAAAAAATGCTAAGATTAGATTGAATTGTAATATAAAATCAATTTTATAAAATATAATACAAAAAAATAAAATTTATAGTCATAAGTAAATATCTATAAAAAATATCACGATATATTAAAACCCATGAAAAAAAATCTAAATTGATATTTTATTATTTAATAGCTTTAGTTGCCAATTATAGCGGGCTATGCTCATTGACAGATTATCCAGATATATTCAATGTACATGTTACAGAGGAAAGAAAAAAGTGAGGATTATAATTTTTATATGTAAATGATAGTGTAACAATAAAACATTGTTAAAATAAAGGAATGGATGCATTGATTATTTATAGGAGACTTTATAAACCCCATTGGAATTGTTATGTTTTAATTGTACTTTTACAAGTAATTCGAGGTATAATTTTGGTTATCTCATGTTATTTTATATATCAGAAATGATAATTAATTTCGACTTAAGATTTTTTGACAAATTGCGAGTCGCAAGCTTTGGTCATTCCTATATTGTCTATTCCTAATACTCAAATATTACGACTTTTTTATATTACTGTTTATATATGTAATTACACTCAAATTAAATAAGATTTCTTTAAAGCATAATATTATATAAATAAATAGATATTTGATAAAACTTTACAACATATGGAATCCTCTTATAAATCCTTTTATATATCAGTTTAATATCTTTCCTCTTTATTATTGTTACATTTTATACTGCAGCCTCAATCAAATTTTCTTTCCCATTTCCTATACTATTTGCAATATCCATAATAATTATAATATGTTTCCACAATGAAAAAATGTTTTGACCATCCTGATATCATTAAGATAAATTATAATATAGATTAATAATGTTTATATTTTGAAAATAATACAAATTTTTCTTTAAAATATAATATGTATAATCTAGGCTGATCTAAATTAAAATTTTAGAAAAAAAACTTTATATAGTTTGCCCCCTAGCTATAATGGCAAAACCTCAAAGATGTCAGGATTATATCTAATTGTGATCCACATTTTTATCATTGCCCTCAAATTTGCTATTTTCCTTAAATCAAACATTTTTCCAGTTGTTTCTTGCTTAAAAGTATTCCAAAATTATAATATCATATTTTTTCTCTTTTCATTATATTTGTTTTTCAATATTTTAAATATTATTTTGACAAAAATTATAAAATTTAAATTTTTATTATGAATGCATATTTAAAAAAAGATTCTTTCAACTGGATCTTCATAACGAGAATAATTCAATAATATCTTATATCCAAGGGGGTGATGGATCTCCAAGTACAGATTCAGTAAATGACACGGTTAACAAAAAGTTGTGGATATTTGAAACTAATGATTTGTTGAACATAATAGAGTTAAAAAATTTACGTCGAACACTAAAAGTTGAAGCTAACGTGAGTAGTTATTACTCAATATTTGTATTAACTTATCTTAGGTTGAGTTTCAATTGAATAGTATTGGTTCATGGATTGAAATATGTTTGTTGCCGTTATACAACAGGCCTTACAATTGTTTGGAATTTACTAACGCAAATGTGAGTCAAATATTTTTATGGCACAAGATTTGGAAGGTAGGGAAGGGGAGGGAAGAAAAGTTATTATAAGAAATTGAATGAATATTTGTTTAAAAAATATTATGTATTTTAAATATCATCTACAGATTACAATTAATGTTACCAATAACTTGGTATCGGTACAAATGAAACAATTGGGCAATACAGGTTCAGGAGAATATTTAAATTATATCTTATATAGTTTATCTTGGAGTTTACCCAAAAACAATTTTTATCAATACAGTTTTGTAGGTGGAATTATCAAGGTATCTTGCATTATTACAATTTGCAATTAAATCTGCTTATGATCATTTTTATGTATAATAAAACAAGTATAATTGTACAATTGTTTCGCAATGAGATATGAATTCATTATCTCACAATTATAAAAGCAATTTTTAAATTTGAAATATTTTATTTGTCCTAGGATTAACACAGGGGACCTATAATTTTTACAATTTTTATAATGTGCGATTGATCAAATCATAATAATTTTTTTTATATTTTACTAAAATATTTTTCTCCTTGATTGCAAATTGTAAATATGTTTTGTTTTATATATATGCGTCAATTCTTATTCATTCTTGATAATAAAATAATAGTTCTCAAGTAATGCTGATCTGAAGAAATTTTCTAATTATAAGAAATATTATGTGTTAAAATTTTTAACAACTAACTTAAAGGTTAAGGAATATGATTAGAGATTAGAGACATGTGGGTTAATTTAAACATTCTCTAATAATTTTTTTAAAAGTTTTCAAATACATTTATATACAAAATATAATTTGTATAATAAACTTTTCTAGTTTTAATTGCCCTGTGTATTCAAATTAACACTCCGGGTAAAGAACTATTAATGAAATGTCCAAAAATATTATTTAATGATTGTCTAAGGTCTGTAAAATGTGATAAAAAGCTTGTTTATTAATTTATTATCATAAGATTAAGTAGAAAGATTTTCAAAAATAGTATATTTATTATATTCATACCAGAGATCCGCAAAGCCTTGCTCAGTGGAAAAATTTATAAAAAACTGTATGGTGATGCGCCGATTAAAAAATTTAACTAAACAGGCAAGAATGTAAAATTTTGTGATAACTGGAAAAATTATACATAAGAAATCAGGCAGATTCGCGAGTTCTAATATTTTGAAAAAAATTATAATAGGCCATCCTGGGCATTTTGATATATATTTATATAGCGTATGTTTTGATTTAACTATTTTGAAAATAAATTGTATTATGCCTATTTATTTGTATTTTAAAAGCGGTTCTAAATAAAGAATTAAATACATTATTAATATAGTAAATTCATCATAAATTAAACAATTTATTTATTATAAAGATATCTACAGAATTGATTTAGCAAATGTATATTGTTTATTGTAGAAATAGATAAGGAAACTTTTGGAAAAAAATTAGAAAGAGACATTAAAAACGTGATTCGAAAAATTAAAAAGAAATTTAACGGGCGGGGTAAACTTTTTACAATTTTTTTAGGGCAAAACCTAATTTCTCTTTAAAATTTTGTTTGGCTTAACCAGGCCGAAAAAATTTAATTATAATGAATTGAGTAAAAATTTTAACACTGCGAGAAAATTGTGAAAAATTCTTAAAAAGGTAGGTCAGACCAAGTTTTGAATCATTCATACGCATCTTGGTTTATCTTAAAACCGTTTCTGATCTAATATGGTTAAAAAACTAAAATTAATATTTTAAATTTAAACTCTTTTTAATAATAATAGATTAGTGAGTTCTATTTAAATAGTAAATAGAGATATATTTAAGAAAATGAAATATCATATGAATCTTAGCAAATCTTAAAGCCATTCCAGCAGAAAATTGCTTAACATTAATTATATATAAATATATAAAAATATTATTCCTATGAGACTAAATTATGTTAATATCCATAGTGATCGATATAAGATAAAAGTGTCATATATCTTTCAAAATTGGTTGTTTATCATTACTTTTTACATTATTCAAGGTTAAATTTCATATCTAAAAGATATTATTGATAAAATTCTTATAATTTAATATTTTCTGTGCACCCTTATCTTTTACTACTATCATAAATAAATTAAACATTTTTCTTAATTACATAACAAGAAAGAAAGAAAGAAAGAAAGAAAGAAAGAAAGAAAGAAAGAAAGAAAGAAAGAAAGAAAGAAAGAAAGAAAGAAAGAAAGAAAGAAAGAAAGAAAGAAAGAAAGAAAGAAAGAAAGAAAGAAAGAAAGAAAGAAAGAAAGAAAGAAAGAAAGAAAGAAAGAAAGAAAGAAAGAAAGAAAAAAAAGAAAAAGAAAGAAGAATGGTCCAGAACTTTCCATAAAATATATTAAAGTTTTAATATAAAAATGAATAAATTTTTATTTCACTATTTTATTAAGTATTCTTTAATAATTATAATTACCGTTAAATTAAGGAAAAAATTTTTTTAAGAATAAAAATCTAAATTTATCTTAGTGCTTCGATATAATTTATTAATGTTAATAGTTGATAAAGATTGATGAATAAAGTACGTTGATTTATTTTCTAGCAACATTCAGGAATGTTTTGAAATCCAAAATACAACAGGAACGCAAATATGCTGTTGCATCCGGTTTCATGAAGAATAAAAATGAATATTAACTTATGATAACCCCCCTTTTTAAAGGTGAGGAAATTATTTTATATTGGCAGATTGTATTTAAAGATTTCTTCTACTATATAAAAAATTTTCAGCTTTCCCATAATAGTTGTGAATATAAAAATATAGACAATTACTATATGACTATAGGTAATAATAAAGTTTCTGATTGATCATAATTTATTCAATATTAATGATAATTTATAGTAATATTAAGATTAATTTATGTTATATATATTTTAATACAATTCATTTCTAAAGATCGAAGTTCTGATAGTGGTATCAATTTTATCTTATTATGAAATTTTTTTCAGATACAAGAAGAGGTAAAAATAATTATAAAAATTTTTTTTATCGGCTCGGCGATTGGTTTTTTTTTTTTACTAGACCAGATTTTTTATGATAATTTGCTTTTTGTAACCTTTAATAATTTTATGATTACATTTCCACCTAAACCATATTCATATTAATTATCTCTTTTTCCTTGATTATATCAAATAAAAATACGTAACCGTCGGAAGTAGCCAGTATCCAAGTTCATCCGAATCTAATTGATTTTCCTTTAATTTTGCAAGAATGTCTTCTTCGGTATGATATTATCTGTTCATCAATTGTTAAATGATGTTTGAAAATTTCCAATTGTTGAAATATTATTCAATATTAATATAAGGCCTAACTTTACAAATGGGCCATTGTATTTCGGATTATTGGAATAGAAATATAACTATCATTAGACCAATATACATCTTTTCTTATGGGAATGATACTAGTAAATAAAAGAAATTAATAAATCTCATAATATCTTGGATGTTTATGTATATTAAGCCGATTCATTTGTTTTGCATAAATATTATTTTGTTCTACAATTAGGGAATATAAATCTTCATTGAAAATTAAAGAAAATATATCTGATCGACTTTTACTATGCACATCGTTTTCAAGTTTTAGTATATCCTCATCTTCACCATTGAATGGGCTTGTAGAATATAATTCACCTCTTTTTCTCCATTTTAAATTGCGAGAATTACATAATAACCTCTTGTAGAAGATGGTTCTGTGTCGTAATCAATTAAATTATGAATCTTTAATTTACCAGCGGTATCTGAAGACAAAACAAATATCATCTATTAAATCTTTTTCGTCGAAATCTTCTAAATTACTAATTGTAAAGGGGTTTGGGGGAATTATAACTATATCTCTTTCTTCAATTGGCTCCTCTTCAAAAAGTTAGCACTTGTTCTTGTTAGAATACGATTAATTTAAAAATTTTAATTAAAAATTAAATAATTAAATAATTTAGTGGAATTTTTATTTTTTTAACTAGTCATCTATTATTTTCATAATTTTGAATGAATAGGTTCATAATAAGGCAAAATTAAATAAATTTGAAAATAAAATAAAATGTTCAGCAAGGAAGAGGTTACAAAATTTTAATTTATGAATAATTTTAAATTATTTATGAAACGAATATTTGCTAATAATTTCATATAATTTGACCATAAAATAAATATCTGACTTAATCTCAGGAGGCTCAAAACATCTTTTTCAAAATTATTTTCAAAAGACCTTTAGCTAATATTCAATATGGTTATCATTGCATATATGCGCCAGTAAACTTTATGTGATTATTATTAAAATTTAATTATTTACAAATTCAAAAATGATTGTTATTGGAATATCTAAAAATATTATGCATAGTGGTTTTCATCGAAATAATTTCATAATATACTCGTGAGATTACCTATAAGACACTGCATTTTAGATCTCAATTCGCCATGTTTGAGAGCTTTTTAGGGACATTAGAAAAGTGTCTGAACTATATAAAGTTCCTTTTTATTATTATTTAAAATAAAAACTACTGTTTTAAAAATGTTATATAAGAAGTGGTATATATATATATGTGTACCCTTAACCAATAACGATAAAATATAATATGCGAATTTAAAAATATATTGAAATGATTGACAGACTTAAATGCAGTTTTTGAGAATGCAAGATATATTGATATCTGAGCCAGTATAATGATATTGATAATAATTTCCTCTTGGTAAGTTCCATGATAAGCGGTACAATATATAATTGTGGTATGTGTAATAACTTATGGAATTCCAATACATTAATGTCAACGATATCATATGATTGTTAATTCTTAATGAAAGCTATGTTTGATTATAAAAAAAATAATTATTTAAATATTTCATTTCAACTTTCGTATTTAATTTAATTTCTTTCTTCCTTCCTTCCATCATCCATCCATCCATCCATCCATCCATCCATCCATCCATCCATCCATCCATCCATCCATCCACCCATCCATCTATCCATCCATCCATCCATCCATCCATCCATCCATCCATCCATCCATCCATCCATCCATCCATCTATCCATCCATCCATCCATCCATCCATCCATCCATCCATCCATCCATCCATCCATCTATCCATCCATCCATTTATCTATCCATCCATCCATCTATTCATCCATCCATCAGTTGTACATTTGCTCAAAATAAAAAGATAGATCTTTGAAGATCGTAAAATTTGAAGATCTTTTACTTTTAAAAAATTTTGAGCAGCGATCTTCAAAGATCTAGATCTTTTATTTAAAAATATTTTAGATCAACGATCTTCAAAGATCTTCCTATTTTATAATGTTATAAATTATTAT